TTCACACATTTGTTTGTTGGCTCTCTAAACTTGTTATAACGATATGGCCTTACACATGTTCCATTAATGTGTCTTATTTCTCTTTAGACACGTATTGGTCTCCTTGCTAAGGTCTGAGAGATACTAGATAATGGAAATCTCTATTTTCACTGGAGGAGATCACTCTTAAAGGCTCCAAATTGATATGCCAAAAGTCAGTTGTCCCAAAAAGCCAATTTGTGGGATGGCTAATTTGCTGAATGTATTTGTTTCTTTCAACATTTAAAATTGACTGGTATTCATTTTGTCTTTATAGCAGCACTTTATGTTATGGTCAATTTGTTTTTGCCTCTGCTGCCTGCTGCAGCAACAGCTATAGACTTAGATGACTAAGGGACATAAGAATATACGTATAGGAACGTATAGGATGGATATGAAGAATTCTTATAAATGTTCACTTATACCAGTTTTCATTAATGTAATAATAATATATTCATTGAGAATATAAGAAATCCTCTTATATCCTCAAGTCCATGGTGTTTAAATGTATTTTTCTTGTGTCCTGCAGTTTTGGTCTCTGGCTCTCTCATTCTTTCTCTTTCTCAGCTATTACTGTTCAGAATTCCACTTTTACGTCAGCCAAAACAAATGGTGAAAGGAATAAGTACATGTGGCTAATTGCTCTGCTTCTCATCCATTTATCCTCACTCTAGTTAGATTCAGCTGTGTAGGAAGATATTGTCTGACTTTCCCTTTTTTTTTATCCTTGACATCTTTCAGTCACAGGACTTTGCCTGCAGTATTCACGTGGAGAAGGATAAGAACTTACTACTGGGATACAAATGTCAGCTCTGTGTGTGCACGTCTCTCAGAAGCAGCAGTTCTGGGTACAAAAGAGTAGCCAGATGACATTTTGCATTTTTAAAAATAGTTTGAATTCTGATAAGTTGGCATCTAAATCCAAGGACAAGTTGGCATCTAAATCTAACATTCAAGTTTACATGGAGAATTGGAGCTCACATCATGTATTATTTGTCAGTGACATAGATAAGGCACTTAAAAGTTCCATCCAGGACTCGTTTCATTAATGATGCCGAATTGATAGTGAGTCAACATGAAGAAAAACTGTTTACACTGGCTTAATGGTTATGGTCACTGGAAATATCAGCCAGATGACTGAAAGGACCATATCAAATCCAATACTTGCCTCTACTCCTTGCCTGCTCCCCACCCCACCCCCAACACTTTTCTAGCATGAAGTGTGAGCTCCAGTTTTGGTCATACGTGTGTGTGCGCATATGTGTGCATGCGTGTGTACATTTAATGTGTGCACTAAAAGTGTAGTTTATTCAGAGCTGCTGTTGTGTTGTGCAGAGCTCCCCAGGTGCAAATGCAGACCCAAATAGAACCTGCCTGAGCAATCAAGGTGGGTATATTCGAAGGATCCTAGAGTGATTCAGAGCTCATGGTCAGGCCAAGGATTATTATTATACTGTTAGGATTTTTCCTCCCTACCCTAGTTCTTCGTTTTCTCTTACGTGCTGGCTTCCCCTTTCTCACTGCAGACCGACTTTCTCCACGTGGTGAGAAACATACCACACATAGCTCCAGAGTTTGACATGTTACCCCTTCGGCCACAAGAGATGCCTGTTCTAAATCCTCGTGTCCGAGGAAGGAAATTTAGGCTTCAAACTCACTGGGACGGTGGGGTCATGTGAGAATCGGCAGGTCTCAGGGGCTCGTGGAGTGGATTTAGGGGGAAGGAATCCTTACGAGAAGGGGAAAGTACGGTTCCCCGAAGAGGGCGGTGCCCACAGGTTCCCAGAAGACAAGGTATCTGCCGGTATTGTTCTTGCACATTCCTGAGGATTTACCACAAATCTGAATGTCTATTTTAAATTACTTGTCAGACTTAACTGTAATCTTAGATTTTTTTTTTTTTTTCCTTCCTGCTTCTTGTCAGCTAGATGCTTTACTTATAATTATTCTTCAGCAGGCATGTTCTAGCACTTCTTACTCATTTGTCAGATGGAGCTTAACAAAATTACAAAGTCCAATGAGAGACCCCATGTTTAAGACAACAGAAGGCTGAACCGTCCACTCCCTTTCATTTTTGTAACCCAGAAACTTCATTGCCAGGATTCTCTTCAGCCCCTCCTTAGTCTCTCTGTGTGGTCAGAAACAGAAAGATTGCCCTTTAGCGAATAGTTGGAAGTATTGCACAGGTGAAAGAGTAAAGTTTTGTTTTGTTTTTTTATCATCTCCCAAGGGCACTGTGCATTGACTTCCACACTTTGTGTGTTAAGATTCGAGTTAGTTTTCAACTGATAACTACTCGAATCTATTCTGGATCCATTAAAAATAAAGTTCTTGGTATTCCCATGCTTTGCAGAATGTCATTTTCCACAGAATCTGTCTCCAACCTTGTCTTTTGCTGGAAGTTAGGATTAAATGAGTAGAACCTGATGTCCAGCTAGGCTCCCAAATGATTGATGTTTCCGTGGAAACAGTTGACAGCCTCAAAATTAAGGCTGGCCCTGCAGGCTGGGGAAAGTAAAAGTATGAAAATGAGTTTGTCTTAGAAGCAAAACCCAGATGAAACCCAGAGACGACAAATGATCCCGGAGTTTACTGCCAGCTGGCATTGTCCTTCTTCGCCTTTTAGCGGGGAGCATCTTGGCGTTTCAGACACAGGTGTGTGTGTCGGCTTGCTTGCCTGCTTGCTTTGCCGGAGTTGCCCGGATGGCTGTCCCTGTGATTCACAGAGCTCTTTGTGTAGAGCCATGGGTCATAGTAGAGTGTTTGGGAACAATCTGATCTTTGCTCAGACTCGAGTGTGAATCACAAATAAAAAGCCCATTAAAAATGGATGAAATCATAGAATGGCCTTAAAGTTGGAAGGAAGCTAAAGGTCTGTCAGTCCCAATTTCCCATCCAGGTGGGGAACCCCTCCTGGAGCACTGCTGACAGAGTGGTTCGCAGCGTGGCCTCCCCACCAGGGGAAGCCATGTTTCTTGGGTAGCCTCTCTGAGGGTTGCCGGACCCCTTCTGGTGTTAGAAAGGCCTCTTTGTGATGGAACTGATGTCTCTTCCACCTTCGCTGCCTCTTCTTTTTGGTGCCAAGTAAATTGAGTCTTGGTCTCCCACAATTAAGTTAACTTTAAAATTTTAAATATTATATTGTTCTATGTTCCCCTGACTAAACAGGTCCCAAACGTTAACTCTTAACACCTGTGTTTAAAGACATTCTAAAGGGAGAGGTTCATTTCCTTCCAATACTGGATCCTCACCACTGTTGCTTAGATTTTGTCTGACTTCTCCGGCAATTTTTTCTCAGCATCATTTGTGTAGGTGGCAAATTGGTTACAGTATTTCTGTTTTCCTTTCTCTCCCTGGAGCATTCATACTTCAGAGCTCGGAAATCTAAGAAACATTAAATTGGATCAAACCATTGGTCTGTGCAGCCTGGTGAAGGGTGTGGTTGCCTTTTGTGATGTCACCCCAGAAGTTAGTGAATACACCCTACATTCCTAAGTGCTGTCATAATCTCTCAACCCTTCATCTGTGATTTATTTAAACCCCTGGCCTTTTTCATAAGGTTTAAGTTATACATTTCAAGAGTCCTTAATTCCTCATACGTGTTCTACGTTAATATCCTATTACTGGTCTTGAAGTGATGCTCCCCCCACCTCAAAGAAACAACAACCTAACAAATGTTCCTACTACCTTAAAATGGGCTAAAACTTAAAACTAAAGTCAGGTGTTGATTAGTGCTGACCGGGAAGAGCTTCTGCTTTGTAGGGATAGAGTATTGAAGTAGAAGTTCTGTTCTGCTTCCAAAAAATTAATAGCTTTGTAACCTTCAGCAAGTCACTAAACCTCTCTGGGTTCCATTTTTGTTCAAGTATAAAATCAGATGAATACTTTGTTTTTCTAGGTTATTAGGAATGCTACAAAAATAAAGTATTTAATAAGACTTTACAGCAAACTATACCATGATACTCTGGGGGTACTTTGAAAGTTCAAAAAAATTTAATAAGAAAATAAAATATTGATGATACTGGGTATTTAAGACTTACATGCATTCACAGTTTCAAAATAACAGTAGCTGGCCTTATAGGCATGAATAGTAAATGTGTACCTTGTGTTTTAGAGGGAGAAAAATCTCATAATTTCTCACATAGTTTTGGGTATATTTGATGTGCTATACTTTGGGGAGAAGGGGTTTCAGTGAAGAATTGTTTGTGGAGAAATGAAATTACTCTGGGTAGGAGGAGCAAAGGGTTGAAAGCCAGAGAGTAACTTTTGATTTGTAAATCACTTAAATCTTGATTCCTAAAAAAAGGTGGTAAGAAAATGCCTGTAATTAATAACTCTGTGTGGGACACCACCTGCACAGACCACCTGAGTGGGCTCTGGGGAGCTGAGCCTGACAGGGTCTCCTATGAAGCTCAAGGGCAGATCCTGAGGTGCAGTTTTCCCCTGGAAAACTCTTTGGGGCTTATGGCTGGGCCTGGCTTCTGTGTTAGCACTAAGATTCCCAGTTTCCTGAGAAATGCCAAGGGCTTGAAGCAGGCACTTGTCTGACAACTGCGTGGCCCTGGGATTTAAGGATGAGCCCTCTTCCCGGGTGTTTGGAAGTGTTTTTCTTACACACCTGTTTTTAGTCAAGACCACTTGAATTTGGGGACATAAAAAGCAAAAGTTACATCCACATCTTCTCCATACAGGCGCTGATGACAGTTTCTTGGTACGTTTCTTTGCTTTATATAGTTTTACTAAAGATAGGAACCTATCTAGACTTGGAAAGAACGTAGTTTTTTCCTTTTTCTTTCTTTTTTTTTTTTTTTACGGTGTCTCAGAAATTAATCACACATAATAATGAGAAGACTGCTGAAGTTTTTCTTTGCGGGGTGGGGGGCGCCGGGGCGGGGGGCGCGGGAAACAATCGCAATAATCTTTTCGTGCTGGAAAACTGACCCTGCATCCGGTGCTCTGTTGTGTGTTCTTTCCGCCCCCAGGGAGTTCTGTCCAATATCTCCTCTATCACCGATCTCGGCGGCTTCGACCCGGTCTGGCTCTTCCTTGTGGTGGGAGGAGTGATGTTCATTTTGGGATTCGCAGGGTGCATTGGAGCTCTACGGGAAAACACTTTCCTTCTGAAGTTTGTAAGTATCACACTCTACTCTCAGCATGAAGCCAAACTTGCCCATATCAGAAGGACAACCTATCTTTAGGCAAGAGTGAGCTGTACCAAAAGCACTGCAAAAATATGGCCTGGGTAATGCTTTTCTCTTAGGAGAGCTCTCTAGGCCCTCCAGCCCTCCCCACCCCCATGCTTCCTTAATAATATATGTGTCACCCCCATATGTTGTCCATAGAGATTTTGTAAACGTATATCATGATTTTGCTTTCCAATCCTTAAAATACTTTTAGGTGGTTCTATGTATATGTATAATTTCTTTTAAGTGATTTTTGCCTCCTCTTTTAAGCACATAGACAGTAGAAAGTTGTTCAGGTCGTTGGTTTAGGGAAATCAGACATAAGCATGGTGGCTGTGGCCTGTCCAGATTAAATCTGTTAAGCAGTAGATTTTGGTGAATATGGAGAAACGGTAAAGAGCAGAATCCTCCTTGTATGACCAGCGTAATTTTTAGATCCCCCACAGGGTGTTTGATGTGATCACTGCCAGCATGAATATTTTTGGAGGAGGAGGCTTACCAGGGAGTAGATAAGTATTAAAGTAAAAGTGTTGAGTCAAAAGTGAGATTCTTTTCTTTGGAGATTCCTTCCAAAAGAGAGCCAACTGGCCTATGTACGTGTACATGTCTGTATCTGAAATAGGATTGCTGGGTGTAGCCAAGGGTCAGCCCAGTGTGCCTGTCAGTATGGATTTTGGCATTCTGGTGGCATCTGTATACAACAGCATCCACTACCCTTTCCAAACCCAGAAAGGATTAAAAACAAACAAACAAACAAACAAAAACACCTTCCTCTGCTGAGGGAAGATGGTCGGATTTCTGGAGAACATTATTAGTTTAATATCACCCTTTACTGACACAACATCATCGAGAGCATAGACCAGAACTAGTCCCAAGAGCCATGCAGAATGTGATTCTCTTCCCTATCACTTTGACCATATCATCTTTTGGCCTCTTTTCTTGAACGTCCCTAAGAAGAGCAGACTCACACTGTCCACTCACTGTCCACCCAAGGTGGCCCATTTTGAATTTAAGCAGCTCTGGCTCAGCCAAGGTCCTGGAGGGTGCTTAACCTGAAGGTTCATATGACTCATGCTAATAGAAAAAACTGAGGGATACTTGGTCCTGTGTACAATTTAATGAACAGTTGGATCTCTGTCCTATATATAAATAGGTCTCTGATGGGAATAGCTAATTTCCCAAGACTCCATTTGTGTGTGTGTGTGTGTGTGTGTGTGTGTGTGTGTGTGTGTGTCTGTGTGTGTGTGTTATATAAATAGGTCTCTGATGGGAATAGCTAATTTCCCAAGACTCCATTTGTGTGTGTGTGTGTGTGTGTGTGTGTGTGTGTGTGTGTGTGTGTCTGTCTGTCTGTCTGTCTGTCTGTCTGTCTTTCTCTGTCTCTGTGTGTCTGTCTGTCTGTCTCTGTCTCTGTGTGTCTGTTTCTCTCTCTCTCTCTCTCTCTGTCCTTCATTCCTCACTCAGTCGAAGAGCCCCCAGGAGAATTTTGTCCCTGATTGCAACTTGCCAACCTTCAGTCTTCTTGGCACGAAGTACTTCTAAATGCTTGAGCTCACCCCATTCAGCTTTTCTGTAGCCATTTTGGGCCTCAGATTGTACTTACTGGTTGCCACCATTTTATCAGTTTTAGCCTTCATGCCCCCAAATGTGGGATCCCCTTTAATATGATTTACTTGAATATAGTTTAGTTTATAAAGGTAGTCTTGTTAGCATAGTTTATTATTTTTGTAGTTGAAGATACCTGAGTTAACTGAATAGACAGAACTATGGACTTTTTCTCTAAATCAGCACCTTTATATATAAAGTCTCATGTTAGAAATGAGAAAAGTATTGTTTCTGGGCTTATTTAAGTCTTGGAGAATATTTTAAATGGTCCCTCTCTCTATTTAATACAAGCAATAAAAAGTGCCCTAAAACTTTCTTTGAGTAGGAGCTATGAAATAAGTAGGAAGTAATGTCAGCATGACTCCAAACAGCTTCAACGATCTGGTGCCATAAGGCCAGGAGAACTGCTGAGAGAAAATCCAAGAGCTATGCCGTGAAATAGCAATGGAGCTTCGGTGTTGACTGAGGCCCTAGAACGAAGCCTGCGAGTTTGTCACTGCCCGTTGGAAATGGGGAAATTAGCTCACAGGGCCTGGACATGCAGGTTTCTGCCAAATATTTGGTAGGAACTTAATTTGGACTCAAATTTTGATATGCGTATTGTGTAACACGAGAAAATTTACCAAGGTAACTGGAAAATGCACTTTCCTAGTGTTTATGAGGTGAGAACAAAAATCTAATGAAAAACTTTGCTTGACTTCTCTCGGTGTTTTGCGTGTACGCGCATATGAGCTAGCTATGATTTTTGTGATAACTGTCATAATTCCATGTACAGAAGTGGTACTTAATAAAGGAAGGGGAGTTGTTTTACGCTATAGAATAGGCACTGAGTAAAATTAATACAAATTTTTCAACTCTCTTTCTAGATTAAGGAAAGCTTATTTTGAAATTTGGTACCACTGATGATAATTAACAACTCTTTAGATTCTATTTCTAGTGAACTCATCAAGAACAGATAACCAGGAGCTCTGTGGAACCTGAGGGGCTGGGCTGGAGGATCTAGAACTGGGTCCTAGACTTTGCCAGGCACTTAATTTCTTCCTTCCACCCTACTGCTCATGTCTACTCTCCCAGAACAGCACCTGGCACCCAGGATAAACACTGTCAGATATACTGACATCTAATATGAAATGGCCCCACCCCACTGTCCTCTCCTCTACCCACCCCAAAATCGCATAAGACCGTAAGCTTTTTGGTCTTTTTTTAATTGTATTAAATAACTGTGTAGTTTCCTTTGTACCCTTTCCTTAATACAGTTTTCTCCTGGTTGGCTGCTTGATGTCTGCTTTCTGAATGTAGACACAGCAGACAGCTTTAGCTCCCTCTGCTTCCTCCACCGCTCACTGCCCTGCAGCCTTCAGGACCTCTGCTGAGCAGGTGTGGGTGGGCCCAGTGTCACTCTTTCTGCTCTTGTCATCAGAAGTTTGCTTTCAGTTTATCTTCCCCTCCGGTCCTTCACAGCCTCATTTCTCATAATTGATTTGAGCAAAAATATTTGAAAAGAGTAAGAGTGTGGGGTTGTAGGAAGTGGAAAGAACCGTGGGTGTGAATAGTATGTTGATATGACTAAGGTGAGGCTCTTCTGAGTCTTCTAGATGGAAGGGAATTTTCTCCAGATGTATAGTCAGTTACCACATTACCCATGGTCTCTCACCTTCATTTTAAAACTCTTGGTGTCTACATTAGCCAGCAGTCTCTACGTTAGCCAGATGTTATTTAAAATATTCTGAGACCGAAGTATATTTAAAATGTACTTCACAAAGAAAGGCCCTCAACCCAGTGGTTTCATTTCGTTTTCATGATGGGAAATTATTTTCATGCCACAGTCACCCCCTGCTTCCTCTTTGATCTCTTCATTTAAGATAAACATGTCTGCTGTTTTACCCTATATAGCAGGTGCAAAGGGGGAATGAAAGCAGTGTCTGAATCCATAAAAGGAATATATTGCACACAGGATCAAGGCCATAGTAGCAAATAACAGGTGATCTTAAAATATTGGCATAATTTACTTTTCAACATTTCATAAGCTCATTAGAGATAGGGACAGGTCTTTGTTTAGCGTCTAGCAGCATATTAATCAGGAGAAATTCATTAGGCCTTAATGTGGGTCTAATGAGAAATTCCTGATATCCATGTTTACTTATGTGCTTTGTTGGTTAATTGCCAAAGGGAACACCAGAGCCCCAAAATGTGACTGCGAAGTAATTTTTAAAAACCCTTTCTTGGACTGTCATATTTTATTAATGAATCTTAAGAAACTGAAGTTTATCTGCTTTAGCTGTATATAAAAACCGAATGTAATTACAAACCTTTTTAGAAGGAACTGTTTAACTGAATATGATCGGAATAGCCCTTATAACTCTTCTCTGTGCATGTGTCTTTTTTCTTAGTTTTCCGTGTTCCTGGGAATTATTTTCTTCCTGGAGCTCACCGCTGGGGTTCTGGCATTCGTTTTCAAAGACTGGATCAAAGACCAGCTGTATTTCTTTATAAACAACAACATCAGAGCGTACAGGGATGACATTGATTTGCAAAACCTCATAGACTTCACCCAGGAATATGTAAGTTTAAATTTGGTTTATTTTCAAGTTGAAAGCCTTCTCAGAAGGATGACCCCAAAGAACATCCTCCTGGCTTCTGCATCTGCCAGCTGAAACCTACCTCTGACTTTTCTGCATGATTTTTGGTTTGTTTCCTTGTCTACTTATTATTTTCTGACTTGCCCTATGACATCTATGGTTCGAACCCTAAATGGAAATGTCTTATTTTCACTTACCTTAATTTCTACTGAGAGGACCACAAAAGAAAACTCTTAAGCAAGAAGGTTCTAATAACAGTTCCCTTTCCTGTTGACATTTGAAGAGTATAGTTCTGCTATAGCTTTAACATTTTATTTGAGATTAAATGTGGATTCTCTCTTACTCCTTGCCCCCTTTATGGTCACCCTCCACACTTCACAGCTGAGAGTACTATACTTATCGGTGGAATCTTTGCCCACGAATTTCCAAAATATATCTATTGAAGTAATATTATAGCACTTGAGATTAAAACTGAAAGTTGAAAAGTTCTAAGCTGTGGTGGCCTCTAACAAAGAATCTATACAGTATAGCCCCCTCCTACCCAAGTTTCTGAATATTTCAATGTGAAAGCCCCTGCACTGCAAAGGAAGTAACAGATGCCCTGCTCCACTCAAAATGCAAAGCGGTATCAACAGGGCTCAGAAGATAACAGATCTAGTGCCCAAATCTGATTAGCTAAGTGACCTTGGGCTAATAGGACCTTGACCTAGTTCCCCAACAATGAAATGGAAATAATAATAGCTACTGTTTAACTTATGGGGATATTATGACACTCTAAGATGTACATGGTTTTATATCAGGCTTAAGGTGTTATTGACCTACAAACTGACAGGCGTTTATTTGCATACTGCAAAATAGGATAAGCTGAGCAGACCTGGACAGCGGTGTCTGTGACATTAATGTATATGGCAGGACTGGAGGGCAAACAGAAGCCCAATGGTCTAGTTTTCCAGAACGAGCTGGGGTCCCCTGTGATGTAGGGAGGAGAGGGCTGCTTCAGCACTACCTGGGGGCGACCAGCCTCCTGTGTTAGGCACTCAGAACTGAGCTGAGTTGTTTTGGTTTTGTTCAGTGGCAGCAAGGACCATCCTAGAGCAAGCTGTACCTCAGGTGTGAAATTAAGCCCTGTTTCATCTCCTCAGCAGACTTCACTGTTTTTGTTAGGTCATAATGGATGCAAGCTCACACCTTGCCAAGTATTATTGCTGCCTAGTTTGCATGACAAACCTGATGGAGCTTTGTAGGCAAACCCCGAGATGCACAGCCCCAGCCCCTGGAGGACCAGATGAATTGGAGGAACATGCGTGTACACGTTCTCTTGAAATGCTGTCTGCTTTATGTGGAAATACTGTCATTTCATGTGATTCTCTTTTTCTGTCATGGAGTTTAATGTTTTAAAGTAGCTGTTGGTCCCGAAAGCTTAAAATGGTCAAGACTTGATGTTTACTTAACAGACAAATAGAGCTAGTCCAGCCCAGGGAAATGACAGGGGAACTGAGGGAGCAGCCCTTGAATCAGGCCCTGCTGAAGCCCCACTGAATGTAACAGCTTGTTTTATTATATTTTAATTAGATGGTTGCATTTTTTAATATAAAAATGTAAATGCATGCTCTCGTTTAAAAATATTCAGAGTACTAACATATAGTGAAAAGTAACGTTCAAAAACTTTGGGGGATAATGGATATGTTCACGATTTTGAGTGTGGTGATGGTTTTATGATATATACATATGTCAAAAATCATAAAATTGTGCATTTTTTAAATATATGCAGTTTATTGTATGTCAATGATACCTAAATAAAACAGATTTTAAAATCCATTAAGGTTAGAGATCAGATTTGTCAAAAAGTAGGTCTCTAGACATCCCACCCACAACCCCAGTTGCCTCCTTCAGACACTACTACTGTTTAGTGTCTAGTTTATCCTTCTAGAATGTTCCTACGTGTACTCAAACCAAACAGATCTTATTCTAACGGAGCCCTGCTGTACAACTGCTCTGCCCTTCCCCCACCTAACACCATGGGTCTCATCAATCTTTTAAATCATAATGCCAGCACATCCTTACACACCTTCAGCCTTAATTATTTTGGAAGCTTTTACAGGAGCTGTTTAGGTTCAGTTTGGTTTAAAAATAAATTCTGAGACAGAAGAGAAGGTTAATGCTGGCAGAAGGTGGGTGTTGGTCGTTTGGGCGGGTGTATGAATGTCGGTGCCTGGCGGCCTCCAAGTCGAGATGTTCTAATTCTCTCCTGTTTGCTCTAGTGGCAGTGCTGTGGGGCTTTTGGAGCTGATGATTGGAACCTAAATATTTACTTCAATTGCACAGATTCCAATGCAAGTCGGGAGCGATGCGGCGTGCCATTCTCCTGCTGTACTAAAGACCCCGCAGTAAGTGGATGCCAGCAAATTGCTGGCCTGCTCTGTGCATCACACTGGTGTGTGGGATGAGCACAGTGATTTTTTTTCTTGAAACCTCTTCTTACTTGCTTATTTCGAATTGTAGCTCCCGGAGGGGTATAGTGTTCACTTCTTCCCAGTAGGAGTAATGATTGCTGACGTTAATTTAGCACTGCGTGCTGGCTCCTATTCTGAGCCTTTTTGTGCCTTGGCTCATTTGAGTTCGTAACATTCTTACTGGTAGGTACCACCATTATCTTCCCTTTTCAGGTGAAATCAAGGCCCGTGGAGTTTAAATAACTTTCCCAAGCTCATATTGCTAAGAAGAGATAAAGCTGAGCTTCAGACTCAGGCAGCCTGCCTAAATTGTCTGTTATTCCTTTTTTATGAGAAGGATGGGCTTATATGAGAGCTATCTGCATTGATTTGGGATTAGTGACCTTCTTCTTCTAGACTTAGTTCTGGGAGACATATTAGGAATAGAAGAGTTGGAGATAAGATAGGGCTAGAATACTATGTGGGAGGGCCACAGCTGCCCACGCTCTTCGTTGTAATGACTATGGTAATTACAGTTTGTATTTTATTTTAAAAATGTACACACACACACACACACACACACCCTATATAGATATATATATATAAAGATATATAGATATAGACATATAGATATAGATATAGATAGATAGATATATACACACATACATACACCTGTTCTTAAGCCACTCTCTTATACCATGGATTTGATTATATTTTTGGTCCAATCATGTACCTATATATAGAATGACTTAAAATGCAACACCTTTGTTTTAGTTTAAAAGCCAGGGTTGAGTGTTAGAACAACATATATAAGTTGCTCCTGCCTGCACTCCTTCTGGACTTTTTAGCCTCTCTTTGGCCCATCAGTCCCCAAGTGTCCACCCCCAGAGCCACCTTTCCCCTCATTGAGCAGAGCAGAGCGGGCATTGTTGAGTTCAGTGGCCATTTTCTCCTGCAAGGTAGAGGGTGTGGGGCTCTTTAAAAAAGGCTGTGGTCTTGGGATAGAAAAGCAGAAGTTCCCTGCAGGCCTCCCATCAGGGGCTCAGCCTGAGCTGTTATTGTTATTCTCGGTCTGAAGGAGACTGAGAATCCGTAAAGGCTGTGCTCTCCTGCCCTGGGACCTTGCCGGGAAAGCCGACCTTTCCCACTGGCTTGTTTCTCCCTTTCCTCTGAGGAGAGCTGACAGGCAGGAGTGTCCAGCACAGAGCCCGGGGTGCCCACTCAGGCATCCTGGTGCTGGTCAGCAGCTACAAACCGTGCTCTGTCTCCAGTTCCTGCCCTGCGTTACATTCCATCAGGAGAATTCTGAAGATCCTCAGAAGGCATTATGCCTCCCTTTTCAAAACAGAGCCTCCGGGTAGAGCTATCTCATTCCATAAACACTGAGCTAATAAGATCCTCTCATACCCTGCAGAGGGAAAAACTAAACAAACCTAAAAGAGGGGAACCCACATTTCTGATCAGGCCTGTTGGATGTCAGAGCATCTGTCTGTCTTATGTAATCAGGGTATTATGTTTTTAATGAAGTGATGCATGCTCATTGAAAACACATTTAAATAATACAGAAGTATATAAATCAAAAAGTAGAAGTTCTCTCAAGAAAGCAAAAATGAAGTTAGTCACTGTGCCCTTTAACCATCGTTTTCATCTGTCTCCAGTTCCCTAAACCACATAAACTTCTTGAGGTTGTCAACTCTGAATCTTGAGCCTCCCGCATAATGGGCTTGCTCTCTTTTCTGATATTTTCTGAGCCTTAGTTTTCCTCATTTGGAAAAGAGGGCATATTTAATACCTACTTCTGAGGATTGTTATAATAATTATATGGGATAATGTGTAAGTGTTTAACAAGGTGCCTCGTCCATCTGAGTACCAAAATGTACATTTTATTACTGACACTCAGTGGGCATCTTCTGCTAATTCCTAGGTGGACTTTCTTACAGGAGTGCATTTCACTGTTCTGTTTTCTTTCTCCACCAGGAAGATGTCATCAACACTCAGTGTGGCTACGATGCCAGGCAAAAACCAGTAAGTGGAATATCACCTTGTCGCTTAGCACAAAGGGTGTTGGAGGAGCTTTTGAACCTGCATGGTGACGCTGTGCTCTCCTCTTCCCTTGTGAAGGAAGTTGATCAGCAGATTGTAATCTACACGAAAGGCTGTGTGCCCCAGTTCGAGAAGTGGTTGCAGGACAATTTAACCATCGTGGCTGGTATTTTCATAGGCATTGCATTGTTACAGGTAAGACAAGGCTCCTTTCTGGATGTCACCAGGAAATGATGCCCCGAGAGAGCCCTTGCCAGAAGGGGAGCTTTGCTTAATCACTTTAATGGCACAGTTTTTAAGACACAATTGGAGGGGCTGGAGAACAGGTCTGTATTTTAGTAAAGCTCTGATTTTAGATGCTACTATCCTGAACTACTTCAGGAAGTCTTTTTTTCCTTTCAAGATGGAGAAATTGGTTGGGTCAGTAGTTGCCTGCTGGCATTCCAGCATTTCCATAGGCTTAGTAATAATGCATTGTGACAGCCGGGCAGATAGAAATGGTTAGAAGTGGATCCCGGTGGCAAAGGTAAGGCTTTTCGGATTTTCACAGACATGCTGTGCCCCTTTCTGCCTCTGGACCAACTTGTCCAAGTACTAGTGAGGGAAAGGAACGCCCACTTTTCCTTCTGGGTGGTCCCAAGAGCAAGGCTTTTTCATCTTGCGGAGATGTGATATTTTCTTTGAAGGTCACAGGCTTCGAAAGAAATTAAAGAAGACCTAAATAAATGGAAAGCTTTACCATATTCATAGATGTGAAAGACTTAATATCGTGAAGGTGGCAGTACTCCTCAAATGGAATTACAGATTCAGTGCAATCTCTATCAAAATTCCAACTGCCTCTTTCGCAAAAATGGACAAGCTGATTCTAAAATTTATATAGGAATGCAAGGGACCCAGAATAGCAAAACAAACTTGAAAAAAGAACAAAGTTGGAGAATTCATACTTCCCAATTCCAGACTTACTTCAAAGCTACAGAAATCAAGGTAGTACATACTGGCATAGATCTGTGGAATAGAATTGAAAGTCCAGAAATAAACCCATACATCTATGGTCAGTAGATTTTTGACAAGGGAGCCAAGACCATTTACTGGAGAAAGAATAGTCTTTTCAACAGTGCTGCTGGACCAACTGAATATCTACATGCGAAAGAATGAACTTGGACCCCTACCTCACATTATATACAGAATCAACTCAAAATAGATCAAAGTCCACAATATAGGAGCTGAAACTATAAAACTCTTAGAAGGAAATATAGGTATAAATCATTGTGACTTTGGATTAGGCAGTGTTTTCTTAGATATGACACCAAAAGCACAAGTAACCAAAGAAAGAGCAGATAAATTGGACTTCATCAAATTAAAAACTTCTGTGCTGAAAATACTATCAAGAAAGTAAAAAGACAGCCCACGGGATGGGAGAAAATATTTTTATCATTACATTTGGTAAGGGTAAAGTATCTAAAATATATAAAGAACAACTCAACAATTAAAGACAAGCCCAGTTTAAAGATGGGCAAAGAATTTGAATAGGCATGTCTCCAAAGAAAGTAAAAATAGCTAGTAAGCACATGAAAAGATGCTCAACATCAGTAGTTGTTAGGAAAATTTAAATCAAAACCACAAACCTAAGTAGTGAGACACTACTTCACACACACTAGGGTGGATACACAGTTGACCCTTGTACAACATAGGTTTAAGTTGTGAGAGTCCACTTATATGCAGAATTTTTTCAATTGACCACAGTTTAGTTGACCTGCATAGTTCAGCTGACTTGAGTTGTTTCAAGATTCAACTCCACGATTGGGAATCCGAGTGTGCAGAGGGCCGACTGTAGTTATATGTGGGTTTTTGACTATGCGGGAGGTTAACGCCCCAAACCCCCATGGTGCTTAGGGATCAACTGTAATTAAAAAAAGAAGACAGTAACAAGAGTTGTTGAGGCACGTGGAGAAATTGGAACCCTCACGCATTGCTGAAGGGAATGAAAATGGTGCAGCCTCTTGGGAAAAAAATTTGGCAATTTTTCAAAGTTATACAATTACCACATGACCTGGCAGTTCTACTAGGTATGTACCCAAAAGAATTGAAAACATAATGTTCACCCAAAAACTTGTACACAGATGTTCATAGTAGCACTATAGTTATAATAACTCAAAAGTGGAAACCCTGCAAATGTCCCGTCACCTGATGAATAGATAATCAAAATGTAGTTTATCCATATTATGGAACATTGTTCAAGCCATCAAAAGAATTGAACTGCTGGTACATGCTACAACATGGTTGAACCTTGAAAACATTTCCCTGTGTGAAAGCAGAATGACCCAAAAGGCCAGGTATTATATGATTCCATTCATGTGAAATGATCAGAATGAGCAAATCCAGATAGAAAGTAGGTTAGTGGTTGCCAGGGCTTTAGGGATGAGGGGAATGGGAATGACCATGAATGGATACAGTTTCTTTTTGGGGCAATGAAAATGTTCTGGAATCAGATACTGGTGAGAGTTATACATCCTTGTGAATATACTAAAAACCCCTGACTTAACACACTTTAAAAGGATAAATTTTACAATATTTGAATTATGTCTCAATTTAAAAACTCAAAGATAAGAAAAATGAGATTCATTGGGCAAGGAAAAGCCTAATGAAAGTAAGAATTGCGCCGTTTGACTCTTTTTCTTCCTTTCTCAGATTTTTGGGATATGCCTAGCCCAGAATTTGGTTAGCGATATCGAAGCTGTCAGGGCTAGCTGGTAGACCCCTGCAACGGCTGCTGAAGACACTGGACACACCCAGCCTTCCGAACCCTCCAGCGTGCCCACCCGAGTCCACGCTGCATGGACCCCACTCACAGAGGCATCCTGCAACCCACCTGATGGAGCTGCCAAGGACTTGTTTTGGGGGGTAAAACTGGGAAATGCTGCTTACTGACAGAATTTTTTTTAAATAACCAGTATGAAAGTCATTGCGCCGTGAATCTCTACTGTAGCCATGAATTTATGGGTGGTTGGATACTTACCAAAAAAGAAAAAAAAAAAAAAGGGAGGGTAGGGGACCCAGATGTACTTGAATTTGTGGGAACCACAATCTTGTTCTCCACTTTGGTAATTGGAAGGCTGAGAGAGGCAGCTCTGCTTTTTGTCACACCTTGAAGGGACTGCCTTCTGCTCCATGGCCTAATGAAGTGCATCTGTTCTAAAACTTGACCCCTGACCTGCATGGGCTGGGGGCTGGCATCCCTTTACCGTACATTTCAAGGAACTGTTACATCTCTCAGCCCAAGAAGAAAACAGCTTGTCTTTGGGTTCAGATTTGGTAATCACCGTCAGCACGTAGCTTGGTGGGCACACTTGGGCTCCTGGAGTATCTACTTACAAGAGAAGTTGTGTTTTCCGTGTGCACTGAGCAAGGATGTGGGACTGCTTCATGATGCTGGGTTTTAGCAGGACAGATCTTTTTCCTAAGTAGGCCTGAGCTTTATTTATCAATGAAATCCAAGGAGAATATGAGGTTAATGACGAGGTATTAGTTAAATACCCCTTCCCCCCAGCCCTCCAAATCAGGTGCTGGATTCTCTGGAAACTCTGGAATACGCTGGGGTTTTGGCTTTTTTTTTTTCTTTGTCTCCCTAAAGTGAAAGCTATGATACAGTTTGTTAAATTTTGAAGTGTTTTCTCACAAGCTCAACCGTTAACTTTTTTTGTGTGTAATCTCCCCGCATGACTTATGAATATGGATCCAATAGCTTCTCTTTCTGCCATCTTTCCTAGAACATCTATACACGTGATTCGGTCAGCATTTATTTGATAGTCTCACGGCCTCGAGAGGTGTGGTGAGTCCTCCTCGGCTGGGAAGAGACCAGCTGCGCCGTTGCAAATGCTTCCGTAGCCTCAACAGTCTCTTAACCTGGTTTTTATGGCCTCTCTTGCAGCGGTGCCCCCGCAACTGTCTGTTTGAATGGAAGTGAACCTAATCCTGAAACAGTGTCGACACAATCAAAAAGCTTCTAATGTCTTTTTTTTTTTCCCCTTCTGGTTTTAGTTTCCTTTTATTAAAAAAAAATATATATATATACATATATATAACGCATGAGCAGTGCTCCTTCTCTTAGTGCAAACTAACTGTCAGGATGGTGACAAAGCACAAATACTTTGGAAGGGAGAACATTGGCGGGGCAAGTGTTCTGTGACATAGTTGGGAAACTACCTCCAGGTGCTGCCACCCACCCCCTGCTCTGACTCCAGGTGGGAGGGACGAATTTTGCCCCCAGATTTTAATCCAATTTGTGTCTACCAGGATGTCCTTCTCCTGGGGAGTAGATAGTCTGTGGAATGCTGGGAAAACCACAGGCATATTTCATGGTGATGACACATTTGCCAACAGAACTGGGCAGCCAGCTAGCATACTTTGTGGAAATTTAGCAAGGTTTTCCATTTCACTCTCATGTTGCATCGCTCTGGCTGATGAATGTGTCAGTCTGCTCAGATAAAGGACAAAAATTATTTGAAAATCTAGTCTCCAGAGTTTGGGTGTGTGTATGACTCTGCATGTGTGTATTTTTGTGTCTCTGTAAAGTTAGAGATGTTCATTCCATATTCCAGCTGTAAGATTATTTTATTTCGTCTCTGCTCCTACCACAGTTGTTCTCTGTAATGTCATTGCAACATGGAGAAGACTTGAGCTCTCCAGTTGGCACCCTTGTCTTTTATGTTTATTACCTCATTCTCCAGTGAACTCCATCTGACCAGTTGATTCAGAACCAGGCAAGATTCCCACCCTTTGGCACATCCAGTGAAAGGCCAAACAGCAAGTCCAAGTGAGTTTTAAATTTTAATGAATCACCCTTTATTTTTTACACTTCAGAATGGTTGTAATAAAGGCTGTCATTAATAAACTTGGTTCTACCTTACGTGGAGTTATGTCTTCATTTCTTCTCTCTTGAAATTGCGAAAATCTCTAATCCAGTGTTCTCAAATTTTAGTGTGCGTCAGAATCACTGGATGGCTCATTAAATCAGATTACTGTGTTTGCCCTCCCCCCCGCCCCAATTTCTAATTTAGTAGGTCTCATGTGGGCTTTGAGAATGCATTTCTGACAAGTTCCCGGATGATGCTTTCACTACGTGTCTTGGAAGCACACTTTGAGAAGCATTGCATGGGTCCGATTCTCTAAGGGGAAAGGGCGAAGGAATGTTTTGTGATTAAAGGGGAAAGGTGACTTTCTGGTACTGGATGCTGATTAATGAAAGACAGGGGCAGAGCCGGGTATGTAGGAAATCTCTGTCCTTGAGGTCATTGTCTGCTGGTCACAATCATGTGGGGACCATGAAGAATACAGATCATCAGGCTTTGTCCCTAGCAATTCTGGAGTAGGGGAGCTGGAGCCTCTATTTTTAAGATGTTCTCATTGAAAATTGAATGCACAGTGGGCCTAGGTAAATCTTGATAATATTTACAACCCTTTTCTAAGAAAATAACTTCTAGTCATCTCTTAGAGCAGGAGTCTTAAAAACCCGTTTGAGAAATATCAACTTAAATGTCCTTTCATTTTGAATTATCACCACAGAAGAAGACTTCTATCTTTCAAACTACCAAGGATTTTCTCCAAAGATTAAGTGAAAACAAAAATTTAAGGTTCATATAGTATTCTCGGACCCTGACGTTGTGCTAAGACTTCTTTGAGAAACATTTTGCCTCATTCCCCTGGATATTTGAGACCAAAATGTTATTTTGACTTTAAGGAAATTTATCAGGAGTAATGGGAGATCACCAATCACTATTACTTGAGTTTTCTTAGCTGTGCCGTAGAAGTAATTAGTCCTCCTTGCTCATGGCAAACTCTAGGCCAAAGAAAGAAATGTTACAGCTCAGAGGTAAAAGGGTGTTTTGTCTCCAAAACTTAGAATTTACAGAATGTTTCTTTTGTGTTTAGAAGATACATTTGGAGGGTGACTATTAAATTTTTCTATATTTATTGTTGGACGGGTTACCACAAACATAGCTTCCATGATTTAAAAATACCTAATACTGTTTTAAAAAATGAAAATAGGAATTAAAAAGTAGAATTTTGCATTATGAAGCACTTGGAAAAGAAGTGCCTTTACTTTGTTTTCTTCTACTGAGGAATAAACCTCTCTTTGTCTTTCAGTTTCTTCCTGCTGCAGGTCCCAGTCCTCTCAAGGGGGTTCTGAAAAGTGTCTCTTGGCTTTTTTTTCTTATTCCGCAAAATGTTTTCCCATTCATGCCCTGCGTTTGTGTGGGCAGGAATGGAATAATTCTGCCATTTTGTGGAGCTCCTCTCAGCATCTGTTTCCGGCTGGCTTGGACTGCAGCCCTGGGAAGCCGGTGGGCTGAACAATGAGGAGCCGGAGCCCAGCGACCTGGCTGGCCTTCCCCAGCTCTCTTTGTCATTTATTCCACGAAGCCCTGCTTCTCTAGGGAAATCCTGTTTAGACCTCCAAGGAAGCACTGGGAACGTCTCCATGAACACTGGCCAACAACTGGGTTTCATGGCCAGCCCTCTCCAGTCAGGCCCTAGGGCTGTTTCTGTGTGCTCCCCTCTCAGGGGTAAGAAGCCTAGTCTTGGAATGAGAAGGAAAATGCAGTGTTTGCCTGGAAATATACTAGCTTTGGCCTTGTCATGGTGACATGATGAAATTCATAGAAAATCTATACATGACATCAGACAAAGCAGGTGTATCTGGGTGGGGGTAGAAGGCAGAGAAGAGAAGCCAGATTGGAGAGGGATAAGCCATCTTTAGACTTACTTGAGCCTCTTTCTCTTTTTGGAAGCGTTTGTGACAAAGGTAGAGTTTGTAAAATTATAGTTTTCAGAACTTGAGGAATTAAATGCAGCTTCTTCGGAGTGTTTGTGCTAAGTAGTTCTCGTGAGCTTGGCACCAATGAGAAGATGACTGAGTAAGTCCACTTTTGGTAACCATTAGCCCCAACCAAACTCCTCAGGACCTGCACTGGCCAGTGAAGTTTATTTCTTTACTTTGAGGAACTCCCACCTGAAGAAAACCTGAGGTTAGAGAAGGTTGGTTCATGGGCTTTATTAACATACTCCGAAAACAGTAGTGTGTAAACAAAATAGTGCTTCCTATGATGTTGCTCTTCACCGAATGTGTAGTTGCATGATACGTGGGAGAAAAGACAACCTCTTAAAGCTGGAGCTTATGTGTTTATTAGCTTTTGCTTTTGCAGAGCAACTGGTTTGAACAGGAACGTTTTAATGGCCTGCCCTCTAGTGGTGATCACATAGAACAACCGATTGGAGCTGGAATACTTCCTGCAGGGCTGAAATCACTATTGAGAGGTGCTCATGCTTTGCAGAAACTTGAGGCTATGCAGCTTTTTGTTGCATGCTTAGTATGGGTAGGTGTTTTATTCCTTTTACATGCTCCCGAAAAAGACATTGCTTGTTTTTTGAAAGTTAGGGAGCAGGGTATTTAGCTCCCTTCACCATCTAAGTCCTGATCTTGCTTCTGATACTTTAGAGGGCCCTGCCTTCTTGCTAAGACGCAGATACAGTTTATAGAAGAGGCAGTGATGGTCTAAAACTGCTAGTATGCCGGGCAGGTAACACTCCTGAGACAGTGAGTAGAATAGTTCATGTATTTCCTCTAAAAGCATCCATGTGGATCACCCGAAGTTTGCTTTGATCTGAGAATTTGCAACCTTGATTGTAAAGACTGAGACAGTGTTGGGGTGGCCTAGATCACTGACTGTAACTTGTGTTTTAGAAATTTGTTATGGGTTGAAGTGTTTCTTCCAAGAATTCATGCATTGAAGCCCTAACCCCAATACCTCAGAACATGGCCTTACTTGGAAATAAGGTCATTGTAAATGTAGCATGACCAGTGCTATTAAAAAGTTAAGATGAGGTCATACTGGAGTAGGTGGGTCCCTACTCCAGCATGACCAGTGCTATTAAAAAAAGGGGGAATTTGGACACACATGCACATAAGGAGAACACCATGTGAACGTGAAAGCGAAGGTCAAGTGATGCATCTATAAGCCACGCAACACCAAAGATCGCCAAGAAGCCACCGGAAGCTAGGAGAGAAGCATGGAATGGATTCTCTCTCAGAGTCTCCAGAAGTTACCAGCCCTTTCAACACCTTGGTTTCGGACTCTACCCTCAGAGTTTTGAGACAATATGCTTTGAGGTTTAAGCCTCCCACTCAGTGGTGCTTTGTCATGGCAGCACTAGGAAACTGATACGGAGCTTGGTTACCTGTTGCTGGTTTTCAGACTGGAAACAGTAGGGCCACTCTGAGGTCCATAGGCTACCTTTTACTTGAAGAGTGATTAATGTGTTTGTGCCCTTATTACTGGAATAGATGCACCTGAACATGGCGTGGGGCTCTCTGTAGCTTTAAGCTCTTGGAGACAGTCTTGATACATTTTTGGGGATGTTTTAAAAATGAGGAATGCTTTATTACAGTGTGATTAAAATGGTGGTGCTGCAGTCTGTATTTATTGGAAGTCAGCAATCTTAAATGCAACTAACTTGTTAGAGTGATTAAAGGCTTGTAAATAAAAGAGCTATATTTCCATGATGTGTGCTTTCTTTGGTCTTGTTACTTCTTGGCCTAATCATCCCACTAATTCACTGCCTCCCTGCTGTACGCCGGCTTCCAGGGGTGAATGCATCATCTATCCCTTGAGATAACAGGTCACATTTACTGAAAGTTTACTGTGTTCCAGGCCCTGGGCTGTAAGCACTCTGCATGTGTTTTTGAGGAAATGTAAACCAAAGGAGAGAAAAACCCATACATGTGAAAAATTTAGACTTCATCAAAAGCTAAACTGACAACTTCCAAGGTGGAGCTGGCTGAGATGAAAGAACGCAGGGGTAATGGAAGAAGACCTCAAAGAGAAAGAGCGTCTTGACCTGGGCCTCCAAGGGAGAGCAGAGGAAGATACTCTGGGGCAGGAGTAAGAAGGTGAGTGCTGCTGGGGAGAAGGGGAGGCCCCTGAACTTCCAGGCTGCAGGTGTCGGGGAAAGTGCAGTAAGCAGTGAGAAGGTCAAGGTCAGAAAGGCCTGCAATTGTAGTTCAGTCTCTGACGTGCACCAGGCACTCAAAAACTTGCTGAGTGAATGAGGTTGGAAATTGAGGTGATCGGTAGCAACCTTATTCTGTAATGAAGAGGTGACTGGTGCAAAGCAAAATTTTTGGTAAAGCTGGACGGTGTCTGCAGGTACAGAAATTGGGAATATTTTAAAAAATCGCTCCAAAAATTTTGCTAGAATTGTCTGCCAAAGCATTTTGTGGAAGGTGGATAAAGTAACAGTCGCAATGCTCCATGCCCTCCCAAGAAGTCACTGTAAACCTGCAAATCAAATAACCTTAAAGCTCTACAGGGCAGCAAGAAATGCCTTATTTTCTCCTTATTCAGGAACCCAACTGTTTCCTCCATCCAGTTCCACTGTTCCTGTAATTTCTATGGCCTAGGAGCTGGCAGGGAGATTGCCGACATGTTGTAGCAAGGGACATTGCATTGGAGCAGGTGGAGGCTGGAGGTGTCACTCTTGCTCTTTTTCAGGTCGAAGTCAGACCCTTGCATTGGAGCAGACACCTCAGCAATAGATGTACATTAGAATCACCCGGGAGCATCAAAACAAAACACCCATATGCAGCTTTTTAAGCTCCTTAGTAATTCTAATGTACCCCCAGGGGTTCTCAGACTTTAATGTATGTGGCTCACCTGGGTCACCTTAATTCACCTAGGTCTGACAGGGTTTGAGTGGGCTGGAGAATCCACAGCTCCAGCAGGCTCCCAGATGACACTGATGTCATTTGCAGACCACGCTTTGAGATGCAAGGACAATCTACAGAGAGCTGTACTCGCCTCCCCATCACTTGCTTAGAGTGTGAGAGCAGGAATAAAAATATGCCTGTTA